AGTAAATGCCAACTTATAGTGACTCTATAGGCGAGTTGAACTGCCCATGGAGTTTTCAAGAGTGTAACTGTTTACGAGTATAGTGCTTTCTCCCACGGTGCTGCTGAGCTTTTGTGCTGCTGACCTTTCAAATGGCAGCCCAGTGCATTGCCACTAAAACACCAGTGCTCCTGAAATTCATATCTAGAGATAAGAAACCCCAGTAAGCAAAGAACTTATTAAAAAAAAGAAACAAACTAGGAGTACTTGCAATACCCAACCTCAAAACCTACTACAGAGCCAAAGTAGTCAAACAGTCTGGTCCTAGTCCAATGACAGTTACATAGACCAAGGGAGCAGGATAGAAATTCCAGAAAACACTTACCTACAGACAATTGATGCTTAGCAAAAGACCCAAAATATTAAATGTGAAAGAGACACATAGCCTCTTCAATAGCTGGTGCTGATAAAAATGGATCTACATCTGTAGAACAATGAAACAAGACCCATACCTCGTCCCATGCACAAAAACTCAAGATGGATTAAAGTTCTAAATAAATGTAAACCCCAAGGTTATAAGGATCATCAACTAGAAAATGACAAATTTAAGAGCAGTATGACATTGGCATACACAGACCCAAGCATAATAAAGTAATCACACACAGCCAATGACAAAATAGTTGACTAGGACCTATTAAAATAAGACACATCGGCACATCAAAAGATTTTATCACAAGAGTAAAATGAGAATGCACAGAGTGGGGGGAAAGTCTTTAGCAACAGCACAACAGACGGGGTTAATCACTAAAATATATAGAATTCTGCAACAACACAAAGAAAACCAGTAACCCAGTTAGAAGGTGGACAAAACACATGGGCAGAAAATTCACCAAAGAAAATGGTCGCCCACCAGGCCTGAAGGACAACATCCCCGCTCTGAACAGTCTGTGGACAAGTGGACACTATGACTGATCCCACCACGAGACACGCCATCCCTTGATGGCCCCGGACTCTAAGGGGGGACAACGCTGGAGACTCAGTGTCGGGACTGGCCCAGACTGACCCTGAGACACTGAGGCAAACCACAAAAAAGCGTGCGGCAAAGCAACTGTGAGAGCAAAGCAGAGA